ATAAAAAAAACATTAACTATTTAAAAAACGAGTATTAAAGTATAACATCAGGAGGGGAAATTTGACATTTAAATTCAACTGTGCAACATAAACATTGGTCTTCATTTCAACCATTGCAATCAGTTAAACTCAGCTTTCTTTGCTGGAAATAGTTTATGATTGTTAATACCAAGTATTCTTGATGGAGGATATGATTGTAATGTAACTGGAATGTAGGTCTTCTACCATTATTGGGACGATTTAGAGACGGCATTTTAATACTGGCCTTAATAAAACCATTGGACAGGCCTAGACAATTATCCATACCGTGGTTAAAAGTGTACTTCTATAAGTCCAGGTAATTAATTATTTACTTATTATTATATGGTTGTAACTGGACGTATGTATAGTCCGTGGCCTGGCAATCAAATAACAGTATTTATATAGGATAGGCTACTGTTATCAACATTTGAAATTACTGAATTGTTACCAAATTACTGTTTCACAAAATGCAGATTCCATTTTTAGCCGAGCCATTAAAATAAGGATTTGCCAAACAATTATTAATTGGCTATTACAGAATAGTATTTAATGATATACAACTTTTCACATTTCATATATTATATGTTAGTTTTGCTATGGTCAAAGGTCCAAATCCAAATGTTCTTTTCTTTTGGTCTGTATGTAGTAATTTGCTAGTATCATTGACTTTATATAAAGTCAATGCTAGAATACTGTAGATGGTTTGTTAAGACCATAATATGCAAGCATTTTTGAAATCGTTTCCCCGTTTAACCAACTATTCCAAAAAATAAAAAAATAATATGGTGCAACACAAATAAATAAACCGATCACCTACCTATAACCTACACTTTACCTTCCTAATCTAACCTTACTTCAAAACACTTAATGTAGTCACGAATACTCATAAACCCCGACCTACCTTCCCCACATGCCTAAATTAGATCAGTGTTCAATCTGCGTTTTATTAATAAGTGTAATAACTTACTGTATCGTCGATGTAATTCAACATAATATAACCTAACCTGTGAGGTATTATCGGATTAAATATCGATTTCGATGCGGTTCGATATATCGCTTATTAAATCCTTATTTCTAACATTGACTGTTTCTAATCAGCTGGCAACACAAATAGGTGCCCAAGAATAAGTAGTCACTGCAATATGCTCCGCGCATTGAGAAAGTAGTTCCGTCTATTTTCGCAATTTGTAGTGAATTCCGCGCCTTAAAAAATGTTTTAACGGTATTTTCTTGTTTATTAAGATCATAGAAATGATTTAAAAACGTGTAAAAGAAAAGTCTAGAAAGTTCAGAAATACCTTATGATTCTCTTGTTTACATTTTTCTTGTAAACAAAAAACTGTCATATGGCTACTTTAGTCCCATAAGCCTAATGTTAAAAATTGGAAATTTTAAGTTCGTTTTAAATTGCATTAGCATTATCTAATTGAAATTTGTTTGTTTAAAAACCATCTCACTATTAGTCTAAGTAATTTTGTTAAGTTTGGCTTAAATGCGTTCAGCCGTTATTGAGTGATGTTTCTCTATTTGTTGCATTGAAGTTGATCCCAAAGAGCTTCGCTCGCTTCGCTCGCTCCGCTCAATTATCTTTAAGTGTTGTCAACCTATTTCCAAGCGTACACGGATTACGTGCATAATAAAACCACGCTGTTTTGTGTTGTTTTGGTTGGAATACTGGTGTGTGCCAAAGTATAAACCGTGTGACAAAGTATAAACGGTGCGACAAAGTAGGTAAATACAGCAATTAGCAGCTTTCTGTACTATAATCAGTGCAACGAAGCCAACTTTGTCGGGTGACTGTAGGAAAAAGAGTTACTAGAAGTTAGTAGAAGTTTTGGTGTAACAAGCTGAATTTCATGTTCGCCATGTCTTACATAGGTGTCGCATTTCATAACCTATTCACTACTTAGTTTCTGGGTTTTTTTCAGGTCATTGTCAGTAACTAGGGTTGCTTTCAGAGAGGTGAAAGCCAGTTGAGCGGAACAAACGTGATTTGATATTTGTATAAGTAACTAAATGTAAAAAAGTCAATAGATATACTAATGCTTGTTTTATTGATAAAAATTATAATAATTCAAATTTGTTTGAACTACATCTTCTTATTCAGATACCTCTTCCAGAAGTGCATTATGGTAGTTTTGACCAGAAAAATATTACAGTAGTTGGAATCTGATATTAACATCCAAAAAGGGCATTAAGGTATAAAAAAGAGAAAGGAAATTTAACATTCTATTCAACTGTAGCCTACAACAAAAACATTGGACTTCATTTTTCACCCTTACAATCGGTTAAAGTATTTAAGTATAAAAAAAACATTAACTATTTAAAAAACGAGTATTAAAGTATAACATCAGGAGGGGAAATTTGACATTTAAATTCAACTGTGCAACATAAACATTGGTCTTCATTTCAACCATTGCAATCAGTTAAACTCAGCTTTCTTTGCTGGAAATAGTTTATGATTGTTAATACCAAGTATTCTTGATGGAGGATATGATTGTAATGTAACTGGAATGTAGGTCTTCTACCATTATTGGGACGATTTAGAGACGGCATTTTAATACTGGCCTTAATAAAACCATTGGACAGGCCTAGACAATTATCCATACCGTGGTTAAAAGTGTACTTCTATAAGTCCAGGTAATTAATTATTTACTTATTATTATATGGTTGTAACTGGACGTATGTATAGTCCGTGGCCTGGCAATCAAATAACAGTATTTATATAGGATAGGCTACTGTTATCAACATTTGAAATTACTGAATTGTTACCAAATTACTGTTTCACAAAATGCAGATTCCATTTTTAGCCGAGCCATTAAAATAAGGATTTGCCAAACAATTATTAATTGGCTATTACAGAATAGTATTTAATGATATACAACTTTTCACATTTCATATATTATATGTTAGTTTTGCTATGGTCAAAGGTCCAAATCCAAATGTTCTTTTCTTTTGGTCTGTATGTAGTAATTTGCTAGTATCATTGACTTTATATAAAGTCAATGCTAGAATACTGTAGATGGTTTGTTAAGACCATAATATGCAAGCATTTTTGAAATCGTTTCCCCGTTTAACCAACTATTCCAAAAAATAAAAAAATAATATGGTGCAACACAAATAAATAAACCGATCACCTACCTATAACCTACACTTTACCTTCCTAATCTAACCTTACTTCAAAACACTTAATGTAGTCACGAATACTCATAAACCCCGACCTACCTTCCCCACATGCCTAAATTAGATCAGTGTTCAATCTGCGTTTTATTAATAAGTGTAATAACTTACTGTATCGTCGATGTAATTCAACATAATATAACCTAACCTGTGAGGTATTATCGGATTAAATATCGATTTCGATGCGGTTCGATATATCGCTTATTAAATCCTTATTTCTAACATTGACTGTTTCTAATCAGCTGGCAACACAAATAGGTGCCCAAGAATAAGTAGTCACTGCAATATGCTCCGCGCATTGAGAAAGTAGTTCCGTCTATTTTCGCAATTTGTAGTGAATTCCGCGCCTTAAAAAATGTTTTAACGGTATTTTCTTGTTTATTAAGATCATAGAAATGATTTAAAAACGTGTAAAAGAAAAGTCTAGAAAGTTCAGAAATACCTTATGATTCTCTTGTTTACATTTTTCTTGTAAACAAAAAACTGTCATATGGCTACTTTAGTCCCATAAGCCTAATGTTAAAAATTGGAAATTTTAAGTTCGTTTTAAATTGCATTAGCATTATCTAATTGAAATTTGTTTGTTTAAAAACCATCTCACTATTAGTCTAAGTAATTTTGTTAAGTTTGGCTTAAATGCGTTCAGCCGTTATTGAGTGATGTTTCTCTATTTGTTGCATTGAAGTTGATCCCAAAGAGCTTCGCTCGCTTCGCTCGCTCCGCTCAATAATGAATACCCCCGCCGCAGTTAACCTGCAGACTAAGCGAATTTGAATTTGTCTGATTGGATATTAAGTACAATATTTCCATGAACTAGTAGAACTAATTAATTTAGCAATTACTATTGCTGCAGCAAGGAAGGGGAAAGGTGTGCTTTTTATCAAATGTAATAGTTGTCTATAGGATCAAAATGAAAAAGTAATCGTTTTAGGGTCTAGATGTTATTGAGCGGAGCGAGCGAAGCCCTTAAACTACACCCCTGCTTTTGTTTTTCAAATACTCCTGAACGGTTGAAGCAATTCGCACGAAACTTAGCACAATCATAACCAACCGTGGGAAGGTATATATCTGAAATGGTACAAATTGGACTACAGGGCTTTTCCCTACGTGAATTCAAACTTTTAGAGGTTTAACATGGGCCTTATGGGTTAATTGGTCACCACGACAGCATTTGCAAGATAACAATACAAAGTTAAACAAAATAATCAAAACATATGGTTATCAACAAATAATCTAAGCTAGCACACTCATACAGAACAAAATGGAAGAGCAATGGATTGATACAGTTGAGCACAATTTAATAAAAAATGAATAACTAGGCTATTGCACCATCGACGTAGATACTGCAAATATCCATTCAATTTTTGTGAACCAAACATACCATTGAATTTGGATACTGCAAGGAGACATTTAATTTATGAGAACCAAATGAACCATTCACTTTGAATATAATACAACTAGATATGTCATTTTACGTAAAACAGATATCACCAACATTGGAAAAGTGATATACTTGCTCCGCTCAATAATTCAAGCAGACAACTGCATTGTACCTAGTTATGAAACCTAACCAATAGCGTATTCCTTGTTGGAAATTTTCTTAAACGAACCGAGCGCGAAACCTCCTAACATGAAGGTGACAAAATACACTAAATCGAAATGTCACTCTTACTCAATCAACCTTCTCAAACAGAGAAGGAAACAAATTAATCTAATTGATTGAGCTTTTCCTGAAAACACCGCAAGGACGCCTGTCTAGTATATAAAGTAGTGATTGTCTTATGCAGCATCACTCATCAGTTGACCATGGCTTCCACCAGTGTCTTGTGCCTCCTGGCTGTGTTGGTGACTGTGGCGACCGCCGCCGAGAAGTACACCACCAAGTACGACAGTGTGAACGTCGACCAGATCATCGGCAACAACCGTCTGTTCTCCAACTACATCAAGTGTCTGCTGGACCAGGGCGGCTGCACTCCTGAGGCGGAGGAGCTTAAGAGTAAGTGGATGTTTGAATTCGATCATTTATCACAGTAAAATCACCATCAGTGTCAATAAAGTACCAAAATTTCACTCAGACGCTAGTTCAATACAATTAAACTTAAAACTCAGTTTCTGAGTGGTTTCTAAAAAATTAAATTACATTCCATGTAAATGTTGTCGTTTAATTAAAAATTATACCTCTTACGAGAAATTCTCCCACTTTTTAAAAATTTTGGAACCGATTCACTTTAAACATAATTCATTGACAAAATCGTTAGAGTTTGTTGTAAAATTTTAATTTTATCATAATCTAACACCATTGACAGTAATTTTGGAGTAAGTAGACATCCCATCTACATAGACCAGAGTTAAAGACAGTTGTTGTATGAAACTAACATATTTGAATGAGCTACTGCAACATATATAATTATTTTCTCTTATTTTTCGACTCTAATAATCTATGTAGCCTAATCTAAAATATGTGAGATTTGACTATCATTGTAAGTAGACATCCAATTTCGATGTTACGTTTGTAGCCAGTTTTTTTTTTTTTTTATTTTTTTTTTTATTTTTTTTTTATTTTTTTATAAAATCAACGTTACTGAATTGGGCTACAGACGGAGAGCTCTGGCCGATTACCTATTCTGTTGAACGCGCCTAAAATGTTTACCTAACCAAACTTCTATGTAAACCATAATATATTTTAAGTCACATCATAGTTTCAAAACTAAAGAATAGGCCTAATTAAGTTTTTGAAAGTGCATTTGCTAATAATTTTTAACTTAATTTGCTTTCGCAGCCAAAAAGGATGTGACAACGTTCATGCTTTCGCTGGTTGTTTAGATTTATATTTTAGTAGGTTTGGTTTGACAAAAAATATTTGCTTTTCTCGCCACCTTTTTTTAAGATGGTAATAATAGCATTTTGATATTTACTTTAATAACTATCATAATTTGCATACTGTACATTTAAAATTCTTTTTGTCTATGATTTAACTAAAACATAAATCTGAAACGACTAAAATGCTAGACGTAACAACCTCAGTAAAATATAACATATGTGATAGTCCAAAACTACGTTTCTCAGCTGTAAAATGTAATAGTTAATTGTTGCCAACTTACACAGACAAACAGTTTATTCATCCAAAACAAACAAACTCTTCTGAATCTATCAATTATCAATGATTATTGTAAACATGTTTATTGACTTAGTAGTAATTAATTGACTGTTATTGTTGTTTAACTTGTTTGTTGTTCCACCAAGGATTTCACTCTCATTTCAAGAAATATAGGCTAATCAAATTTTAATGAAAAAACTATTTTAGGAATAAGTAAACTGTTATGGTACTGAGTTACTGCGTTGTCAATTATTTGTTTCTTAAGCTCCTTTTATCATTTAAATAATTAATACATGCGTTTCTGTAGTTTAACTTGTTAGATTCGAATTATGTAATTGAGGTTAAATGGGATACTAACATTTTACTTCATTGAATTTCGGATTACACTTTTTTTATTTACACGAAAAACGAAGAAACTGTAACTTACATTAATTGTCTATCTAACTAGCTCCTTGGACGATTTTAGTTTATTCACTAGTAGAAGTGGTTGAATTTTTAGGTTAAATCTAACAATAAAGTAAAAAAAAGTTGTAAACAATCACTTTCAGTTCAACAAACCATATCAAACCAAACCAGGAAGCTTTCATATTACTTAAAACTGCTTAGTGATTGTAATGTTTAAATCATTAACACGTAAACAAGGTGATTAGGACGTGTGGATGCAAGTATGGACTTGATTCTTGGTAGTTGTAACTTAGGGCCTTGGGAAACCGGTTTGTATCTGCCAGCTGTTAAACTAATCACCAATGACAAGTGACAAATGACTTGTCGGAACTACAAGTACCTTGCTTGTCTTGTCAGTTCAAACGATGCTTGTGTTTTAGAACTGACCTTTGGTTTGCATCTTTGACTACTGATTTGGTTAAAATTGTTGTCAATTTTGAATAAAAATTTAAATTTATTTTTTTATTGAGATTGCTTCGTTAATCACTAATTTATGACAAATTGGGTTATAGCTTCTGTTATGCCCCATCAACTCGGCAACAAAGAATAAATACCTCCGCAGCAAACCTGCAGACTAAGCAAATTTCTATTTGCCTGATTGCATTTAGGCCTGCACTAAAATGCCTCCTTAAAAATATCACATCACATTTATTCCCTATTTAAATAGAATTGGTTTAACTAGTACTTAGGTTTGCTGCAACATGTAGAGTAAAAAAAGTGTTTCTTTGTTGTAAAATGTTAATAGTTTAGTAAGAAATTAATGTATTTTCCAAATTTGATCTAGATATATCCATAAACAAGCAAACTACAACAGTTTATTTATTCTCTATAAGAATAACATGGGAATTTTAAATTTAAATTTTTTGGAATTTTCTCCGTAACCATTAGGTGCATAATAACGCTTTGATATATTAAATTATTTGTTTTTTAAGCCGAACGTTTTATACGTTTATAGCGAATTTGATCAAAATTAGATTATTTTTGCTAGAGTTATCGTTCTAATGGACACACACTCACACATATAAGCTTTTATAGTGATGGATTTTACCGATTTTTTAGATATACACAGAAAATGCCTTTAGAAAGTCAATGCAATACCCGCAATACATAAACGTGTTGTTGCGTTTCGTTTACGAAGGCATTCTTAGATTTTTTATAATCTCACCTCGAAAAAGTTTTGGAACAAAGTCAATCTCGCTCTAACAAGATTTTTTAATCTTGCAAGTTTCTCAAACATTTGAGACCCGTCCATCATTGGAACTAGGCCTGATTACTTTCTGTCCCTTTACAATATGTAGTATAGGGAAAGTATTGTTTTCATCAACATTAACAAGTTGAAATACAGGGTGATTGATATAAGTGTGCCAGCCGTTTTATTCGAAAACTATAAGAGATATCAAAAAAAGTTAAATGGTAAGTGCCTTGGATTTTTTATTAAAAAAAATATAGTCAAGTCAAAAAAATTATTTTAGCCGCCATTTTTCCAATATGGCCGCCAACTTTGATTTTCTAATGGAACACCCTGTATTTTATGATGTATTCTGGTAGAAAAGGTAATTTTAAGACAATTTTATTCTTGTAATTTTTTTCATAAACCTAACCGTTTTAAAGATAATAATGGTTAAAGTTTTGAAAATTCTGCATGAGAAAGAGTTTCGAAGCAAGCATGCCAGCTGTTTTGCTCAAAAACCATTCAAAATTTCACAACTTAAACCATTATTATCTTTGAAACGGTTAGGTTTATGAAAAAAATCACTAGAATAAAATTGTCTTAAAATTACCTTTTCTACCAGAATACATCATAAAATACAGGGTGTTCCGTAAGAAAAATCAAAGTTGGCGGCCATATTGGAAAAATGGCGGCTAAAATAATTTTTTTGACTTGGCTATAATTTTTTTAATAAAAAATCCAAGGCACTTACCGTTTAACTTTTTTTTGTATCTCTTATAGTTTTCGAATAAAACGGCTGGCACACTTATATCAATCACCATGTATATAGTAAAAAAAGTTTTTGGAGTGATGTCTTTATGTGTACAGAGCTACTGATCACAACTATGGTCCGATTTTGATGAAATTTGGTAAGTGGGTACCAGCCCATAATATCTCCAGGTATTTTAAATTTTGGGTTTTCACAAAAACGACTCATACAATTTTGATTACAATTTATTATGTTGACTAAAAAAACGCTACAACCTCCATTGCTGTAAAAATGAGGGTTCAAAAGATATTGCACATTTTTAAAATTTTTCCTATGAAATTTCAGTTACTCCCACCCACCACTTACCTGTTATAAGGATTGTTGACAAGCCAATGGGAGAAAGTATGCATCAGATTGTGATAACGTTAATTTTTTTGTCAAAATATGTGCAGCAATTCTGTTTTGTGTACCAACATAAAGAACTTTAGCACCGCAATATATTGAAAACAATTTTCGGTGCACAACAAAAATCATTTTGCTTCTGTCTCAATTTCACTTTATCCTTGTCCAGGTCACATCAGGGATGCGTTGGAGACAGGCTGCAAGAAGTGTTCCCAGAAGCAGCGAGAGGGAGCTGACAAAGTCTTCAGACACCTGATCAAGAACAAGCCCAAGGAGTTTGACGCTCTGGAGAAGAAGTACGACCCTAAGGGCAGCTTCAGGGCACGTTACCAAGCCGAGGCCAACAAGAGAGGACTTAAGATCTAGAACTTCAAGACTGTATTTTAACTATTATATTTGTTATTTGTTACCATTTTTATTGATTTTCAGTTAAATAAATGAGATAAAGCATCAAAACTAAATCTTTTCTTTCTAGACTGACTTTTTTGCCCGTGTCAGAGTCTAAGAATCGAGTGACTTTGGATGTTAAAAAAGGACCAATGGCTTTGAAATTCCGTTTTTCATTTGCCTTTTACTGTGTTGCTTTTGAAAAGTAGGATGTCTATGATTCTTGACGGTTTTATCTTGTTCTTCTCAGGCAATAAGGACCTTTCCAATCAAAAATATTCATGATTTTGATTATTATTATTTGCTAGACAAGTTAAGGTACAATTCTGTCTGTACTCATTTTAAACCCAAAATCCTAACCAACAATTACCTAAACAGGCGGTCCAATCTCCTCAATTTTTTTCACAAATGCTGGGAATAAATCTATCCCTCGTACGAATTTGTCTGACCATTAAGGGCTGGAGGAGGAAAGGGGCCAAGTCACTGTATCAAAATTTTCATGAGAGAAAATAACCCCTTGTTCCCTCTTGGCAAGTATTTACAAAACATTATTTTTTAATTAGTTGACCCATTTTTCGCACAAACTATACCATATGATAGTTCTCATCATGAGCTACAACAAACAATGTATAACTCTGTTTTTATATTTTTATGTGCCTTGATCCCTTTTGCCCCCTCGGTCCTTCAAACCCATTATATTTTTAAAGCCCTCTGATTAAAAGCATCCGAGTCCAGTTTCTAACCATCAAAGAGGAAAGGTTATAAATGAAAATAACAGTTTAAAATTCATACAAAATATATTTACAAGTATTTACAAATACTTTGTATGCTAATCAACAGTAGGCTATTTGACAGCTAATATGATGGCTGATTCATTCCCTTTGATAATATTTTGTATTAGATAATTGGTTTTGCCATATCTTAGAAATGGAGGAATTACTCATTTCAAATTATTTAAGGTGTTTCACCTTCTTACTGTTTCCTAACACTTCCCCCAAATGCCCTAACTGTTTGCACATTGATTACAAATGTCATATTGGCAGTTTTAGTTTTCTGAAAAGTTTCCTGAAATTGTAACAAATGCAAGATCCGTCTAGCAACTGAGACATAGTGGCAACTTTTTTTTCAGTAAGAGCCATTGTTTTGTTTCATTTAACGGATATGCTAATGATGGAGATATCATCGTAGGGTTTGTCAGTCTTGGCATTAGTCTTGGCGTTGCTGATGTTCTGTACAACCTCCATTCCTTTCACTACACGACCAAACACTGTATGTTTGTTGTCGAGCCACGGCTAGAACAGATAAATTTTGGTTAAAAAGTTTGTTACAAGAATAAGTCCATTGTTAGGATAAATTGTATAACTTAAGTCTATAGATACCTACTATTCTTGTTTGTTTAAGTATTTTTTGATTGTTTTAATTGGTTGTCACTTATAGCTCGGTTAGCATTCTTGTCAATAGTTCGACATATCAAGAGAATAATGTACACTAACACAATCGTAATAGATTGAAACACTTACTAAACTGCTGATTGTTTCCATAAGCAAAATTTAAAACAAGTTAGACGTCGTTTTGAGAGGTTATCCTTACTTGGAAAGTACTTTTGTTTTGTAACTTACTTTGCTTGTTGGTGCAACATGACAAAAAATATAGTTCATTGCAAAAGCAAAATAGTAATGCAATATGCTACATTTCATTTCATTACAGATTGTTGTTCCGTTAACATTTTTTTTACCATTTTTGGTCAAATTTCCAGTAGATCCAATAGATATTTATGAATGAGCAGTATTGTAGTGGAATAAAGACTTTGGCTTAGAATATAGTATCTTTTTAAAGAGTTAGGAGTTTTGGGTTGGCTATTCAGGTTGTTGGTGACCTGTCAACCAAAGAAGGACTGTTTATGAGCTAAATATCTCCTAATACCTTTAATCTTTGACTCTTGATTCAACTAGACATTCCATTACCATGTTGGCATTGCCAATCAGAGAATCAAATTAACATAGTTAAATTGAACCTTCAACAGTGTGTGCTAATGTGAAATACTGATTTCTTTTAAATACAACAACATTTTAACCACTTCATACTGCTAACAGCTGATCAATGTGCAATCAGCTGTGGAGTGTCTACAACAGTATCTAAAAGTGAATGCTTGGATATCATGGGAGCATGGACGGACTACAGACAAAACTACTACTCACCGTAGGTATGACAGTAATGAAGAACTGGCTGCCGTTAGTGTTCGGCCCAGCATTGGCCATGCTGACTGTGTACGGCCGATCATGCCTCAGGTTGGGTCGTAACTCGTCTTCAAACTCTCCGCCCCATATACTCTCTCCGCCTGCTCCCGTACCTGACATACAATAAGCATATTACTAGCATCTTCAATTTGTCAGTACGACTCAACACAAATCATTAGAAAGATAAATCTGTACTTTACAGCTGTTCGCAAGAGTACCAAACTTCATTCTATGGGTTCGTTCATGTCAGGCTGCGATTAGTGATACACATACAAGTTATAATTTTACCAATGCGTAGATAATACAGACATGCTTTCTAATGGGCCTGTTTACGTCGGATCTGCGCTGTTATTCATTCTTAGATCCCGCCCATCGATAAGAGCAGGTATAATATCTCAGTCCTTTTTCTGAGCTAGTCTTGAGGCTCCAAACATGAATCTTGACAGTTTAATATCACACGATTTATGGGATCTGAGATCACCATTATGCGAAAAGTGTAATACAAATCACCACGATAGATCTGTGTTAGACAAGTTGTGAGGTAAAATTGCTCAAATATTGATCACAATTATTGATAGGGTGTGCATAATATTAAATATTCTCATTTTTTTACATTTTAATAAATGATCCTTACTGCAATCGATGCTAAAATGAAATATTCTTCTTCAGAATCACTCTTCACAAACTCGTTTTTAACACAACAAGAATTCACAAATCAAAATTCGGTGTGACTGTTACGGCTCAGGCATGAACAGACGATAGAAGAATAGCGCTACTCCCAACTAGCCTCTCTGCTCTCATCATTGCTACGATCGTTTATTGTAGCTCCGACATGAGTACTACAATAAAACCATTATACACAGAGTAGACTTCCCATCCGATGTAACAATTTTAAGCCAAGAAAATAGAAGTCTGGACCATCTCACCAGAAGGTACTAGTGTATTGGATTAAATATTAATCGACATCCATGCAAACAGCTGATTGATTTATCACTTGACACAGAATATTGTGAGTTGGTAGACCATCTCAACAGATTGCACCATGTGTTTTGGCTCCAAATTATTACATGCAATGGGAAGTCTACTCTGTGTATAGTCAATGGCAAAATCAAACCCTAACTGAACCAGTTCTGGCCAATGCTTTACATTCACTAAAGCCACATCGACTTCTGAGTGCGACCATGTCACACATAGAGAAACTTAAATGACGTTTTGGCCTCGTTATAGCCTCAGAGCAGTTCACTGGAACAGTTGTCTGCTCTACTCAATCTATGAAGCACTTGTACCATAGACAAAAAGAATTAAATATAGACTGTCAGCCGTGCTGCGGTTACCATGGTTACCATAGGTTTTGGCGCACACCGTTGGAAGCTCCGTGGAGTTACGTAGCGTGTGGACGCCGTAAATACATGGCGCTCCAAGCGGTGTGCACCAGAACCTATGGTAACTGTAGCACAGCTGACGGTCTATATTTAATTTTTTTTGTCTATGCTTGTACTCAGAAGACCCCGTTTAATGTTAGTGTTAGTGACTATAGAAGCGTTATCTCCTACGTTTTACGTTTACGTACCAGTGGGATCTCCGGTCTGAATCATGAAGCCTTTGATGACTCTATGGAAGATGTGTCCGTTGTAGTAGCCGTTCTTGCTGTGCACACAGAAGTTCTCTACGGCCCGAGGACACTCCTTGAACAGACTGATGTGGATATCTCCCAACGACGTGTGTACGATCGCACTGTCGTACAGCCTCTGGATACCTGCAATAAGTAATGCATAGTCATTTTGTACCACTATTTTGTTATTTCTCTAGGTTTTAGCTTGGAATCGCTTTCCACATTACTTCACACTAAACCTAGGGTTTGCGGCATTATCATTTAGATAAAACCCATTGGTGAATCCTTTTTCATTAATATGAATTAATGGAATTGGCCGGATTTGAACCTGGGACCTCGAGAACTGAAGTTTCGCGCTGTACTACTAGACCAGCTCGCTTCCCATGCTTTGTATGATAGAAGAGGTTTGAATAAAGGATTTGAGCCCTATTTGACAAGATTGAGCGTAGCGGTAGGATAGGTCGCTTCTCAATGCTTACCTTGGATATTTTAACCTCAACTGCGTGCCACTTATAGTCTAATATATTACGTGGCATTACACAGGTCACAAACCAAGAAAATGGTAACTTACTTGACGCTTCTGTGGCAGAAATGATGTCTTCTTTTGAAGGTTTCTCGTTGAAGACGTCTCGGTCAGCTTCAGCACTCTTCGTGTCTTCAGGTTCCCTCCTAGAAAGTAGAAGAATACTCAAATAAGTAAATAAAGTTGTCAAAAGGAAAAAAAAAAAATTATAACTGATCAAATAGATTGAAAATTAGCTGTTGGACAGCATTCAAAGCAGTTTATTCAGATTGTTCTACTCAACAAAGCAACGCTTCTGCGTACAGTTAAACTACATAACAGATAAATTAAAAGATATTAAATATTAAATTCGGCTTGTAGAAATAAAAATCATGACTGAATAAAGGGATAATCTGAGTTGAGGCGGAGTGTGTTACCTGGTGAACATGTAGAATCTGTTCTTTTTGAAGGCGGTGCAGAAAATGGTAGGATCAGGATTGAGCGAATCCAAAGTAGGGTTTTCAGACGCTTCCAACTCAACAGTTACAGCAGCTTTGGACTTCTTTGGCTTTCCCTGTACAAAAAAATTACTGAATTTCCCGCATCCCTATAAGCTAAAGCTATTACCGTAGGTCTCGTGGTAAGACCTAGATCCGTGACAAAATAAATCTTTTGTTTTTATACCCTTAGAGCCCAAAAACATCAGTCTGAAAAATTCCTATACATTTTTAAATTTGGAACAAAACAAATGCATGAATCTGAATTTGTTCGAACGAGTTCACTAACCAGTATGATTGAATGAGAACTTGATTTTATGGGGTATAAATTAGATTTTCCCATCTGTGACTCACAAAACAAAACATTTTTCAATTTCTTTCCATGCCATTTTGGTTTTGCTTTTGGTTTTGGTGAAAATTGAAACAAAAAATTGTATGTTATTTTTATGGAAGAATAAATAAAATGTTTTATTTTTTTTGTCTATGGATAGTTATGTGAATTTTAAACAAAGCTACTATTTTAAAAACACACTTTATTACCATCCCTGTAACAGTAACCCCAAGAACTTGTTAAACCTAATGTTATTTAAATAGATTGAATTGAAAATCCAAGTAGACAAACAGAAATTCTACAGATTTGCTCCGGTAGAGCAACTGTTTGAATTGTAAAGGCAAACTGATAACTGTGATTACCTGGAACAAAGAAATCTTGAGAATTCTAAGGTTCTCCGGCTTGCCCAGGAATCGGACACATCTGTTTGTATACCAATTGACCACTTTGACTCCCAGCATGGTGGGGTAGAGTAACAGGTAGCCGCTCTCGTCAAACATCAGATTGCTGAGTCTTAGACTGTCAGACTTGTCTAGGTCTCTCTCAACAGCCATCCTGTTGAGACAAGATTAAAAAATTAGACTTTAGAGGTCTGAGACTATCTTATCCTTGCATTTGCCTGTCATCATAGGCCTGTGCTTAGGAACGTATCCAGAAAAAACAAGGGGTGAGCCGGTACAGTACAAGGGTGAAGCTACCTTGGGCCCGAAGTCTATGGCACTACCGGATGAGCCACCGACACACCCACTTTTTACCCTAAAAGGGTTCTCCTAGATCTAGCAAATTTGGCTGTGTTTTTGGTAGCGACTCTTAACACAACATTTAGGTACATAATTTTTCTAGCTTCTGAATTCAGCAGGGTCTGTATTGCAAATATTAAGGTACTAAAACATTCACTTGCCATTGTAAAACTGTGTAAAAGTTTCCTATGGAAATGTTTTTACATAGTTTTTAATTAGTTTTTGTCAGTTAATACTGCAAAATTCCACAATTTTCTCATCCAAAAACCTGGCAATCCATATTTCTCAGGGAATCTGGAAATAATCTTCATGTAAGTTCCAGAGAATCCTATAGTTGTATGACACTAAGAGACCCTGGTGGCAAAACTACATCACTCAATAGGTGCACTAGTTACATAGTACATTTTCCTTTGCCGTTTGAACCTACAACGATACTTGCAGACATTAAGACCAAGACATTTGAGTCACAAGTACCTAGTGACCAGAGCGCTAGTCAGTATGGCCATCAGCATCAAGCATAACCATAATTTTTTGTAAGTAAGCCAAAATGTAAACATGACAAGCGATTTACCTTCTTCCGAACTCCATGTTCGGTAGTTGTTGTTTTTTCTGCTGCAGCTCGGAAAACCTTTGTAGTGATTCGTCAAACACTCGAGTCAGCTTTCCCGTGAGGAAGTTGAATACTCTAACCTGTAAAGTTTTAACCTGAATTATTACAGTTTTATTCTTGGATAGTAATGTCTAGAATGAAGTTTTAGCTAATACCTACAAATAAGAACTGTCCAGAATTTGTTTTTTTGTAATTGGTATTAGGTTTACAACATTTGGATGTTTATCCATATTTTTTCATCATTATTAGTTCAATACACAAAAATTATTTGGGAGGAAATTAAAAGTATCTCCCTTTGATGGGACAGTAAACAATTTTAACTATAGTATTCATAATGTTTTCTTAGAATTTTTGAATTTTGTGAACCCCTTTTTGGCTTCTTGAACTTATTTTTTTGCAAACTTGCCCATCCAAGTGATCATTAGACTTTTAGAGAAATTTGTAACAAACCTATTAGACCGAGGAGAAAGTTGATAAGTCGGTATGTATACAACTTTCAGAGGATAGTATCAGAAAACGTGGACAGCAAGATATGAATCATGAACGACTTTACTGCCTTAATTTTTGGGTAATTTCATACAGAAGAAGTTTCAAACAAAAACAAACAAAATACAGCCCAACCATTCAAGATTATATTTACCTTACAGTAGAACTAACAAAGCTTTCAGATATAAACTTTACCTTACGATCAAAAGACATAGTGGCGAATTTTGTTCCGTCAGGTGAAAAACACAATCCAAAAGGAATGGTTTTGTGTTTTACAAACTCAAAAAGATCGGTGTCCAGTTTTGATTCGAATTTGGCACATTTTGGAAACTTGTAGTCTTGTCTGACTCCGCCCCAATACTCTAGGATGCCAGCCGAGTCTACGGAGACTGACACATCAAACACTGGGTTGTACTGCAACAGAAAAAACAATTACAGTAGAACTTCAACAAAAATATCTCATGAGGATTATCAAATAATAGCCTACTAGTTATCAAGGCTCACTTCTTATTGAGGATTGCAATAGCATGTGATAATACAAATTCAAGGGTATTTGAAAATGACACTTGTTATTTATGGTGACTTGTTATCGAAGGTCTTCTTATCTAAATGGTTTATCTGGCTTCGTTTGGAACCTTATTGGGGTTGTCTTCTTATTGAGGTTCCACTAAGTGAAAAAAGCTGATCGAGTCTGCAATAATCACAGCCACCGCTATAGTATTATCCTTTATGACTAATAATGTATCAAAAGTCAAAACCTTATTTCAATTCTCAAACTACTTTAACTTTGTATAAGTTTCTGTTTCAAGATTCTATTGGTGGGTTTTGGGATTAAAAACATTGAAATAGAGTTTTATTTAAATTTAAAACTTTGCTCTTTTTTAGGTTTAAAGTAAATTTGCCACATACTCATATTATAATCGGGAGACCAATTTCTTTCAGTTTTAATTGCGTAGTAAACATTTTTTTACTACCTCAATTTTTTTTGGGCCCTAACCTCAACCAGGCAAGCAAATAGGTTTCATATTTCTGTTATTTGAGATTCAAATTTTCTGGTTTTGTTCATTAATATGGCTAAAGCGGTACTACAAGCCATCTACATAATACGGTACCTACATAAGACAT